GGAGACAGCGTCTGTATCGGGTGACTTGCGTTGGCATGGCTCGACCTATCCAAGCCAGGAGGGTCAGATTCCTCGAGGCTTGCATGTCAGATAATACTTACCAATCGGTCGAAAGGTTACGAGCTTGCTGCATCTGTGCTCTAGGATAGTGAGAGGCACAATGGGTCAGATAGTCTGCGGTGTTGCTAACGCACTGGCTCTAATACCAGATATATAGCTCTCAGTGTCAGAATTCGAATTTCAAGCGGCCGACCGCCTAAGTCTCTACCAATGCCAATACCTCGGTGGAACAAGTTGAGTGCCGACACTTCGATCAAATGTCAGTGGGAGTTTTGTCACACCAGACCGACGTCGAGAATCCTTCGTGATCGGATAGCCAGCCGTACGCGGCATATCAAGCGCGCCTTCCTGAAGGCGGCATCGAATCATTCGTTTTGTTATACCTCTGGACACAGCGCTCTTGGTTGTATATCCGCGCTACCACGGCCGCGAACTTCACAAACATAAGCGGGCCATTGTCCTAAAGGAACTCGGTGCAAGACGGACAGGAAGTTATCCTACTACTTCAACGTGAGCCTCTACATATGTCTGCGTCTTTGTCTTTGTCTCACCTATTATGGCTGCACGGAATGCATTTGATTCGTTCCAAGATCCTTCGGAGCTCCTGGGAGATGAGCCACCGAGTCAGCAACAGAAAAAATGTGCCCAAGGGCATGCCGTCAGAACAAGAACCGGCGGAGCGCTGCGACACTACCGTATCAAGATACGTTCGACACGGTCCCAGGGATATGGTGCTCAAATACGAGACAAAGCGCAGCTTGCACATGATCCCTCTCGGATCGCTTTGCTAGTTGGCGCAAGGTCGTTTTTAGGGTCTACCTACGGAAGACTAGGTTGGCGCGCAAGTCCCCGTAGAAGACGTCATTCAGTGCTAAACTTCGTATGGTCCGAGTCGTCAACGTGAACACAGCAACCAAGAAAGATGTCGACCTACAACGTGAAATGGCTGTGGTTGTGGCATTTTATGTTGTATTGGAGCCTGTATCCAGATACTTTTTGCCAGTGAGGGGACTGTCATGGTAGCGGACAATTCGCTGCGTGCCACGTGTGCGCAGTGCGCAGCGGCTTTGGCGCACGCGCACGGAGCGCTGGTTCAGATTGTGCCCGCTCGGCCCTGTCCCAATATTGCACTCTTGTCACTTTTCAGAGCCTTCAACCTCGGTCGCCAGATAGCTTCAACGTGTATATAAAAACATTCACATTAGTACGTTCTCGATTGGAATCCGCGACTCACGCAGTACTTCAGGTTCAATGGGGTCGTGCAACACCTGACTAAACTGAGCGTTCATACCCGGTGTGTGGTCCTTTCCGCGATTGTCTATCAAGAACAAGTTGGAATGTCGGCAGATATGTCACAAAACTGTGCTGATCATGAGACAGGAGAGTCCAGGTCTCTTGAAGAGACTTGTCCGCTGATTTTAGACCATAGCAGTCAACCCGAGACACATGTGGATAGTGTACTACCCTGCGCTCGCTAGCACCTCGAGATCAGTGTGTGTTATTTTGAGCAACGAGGAAGACCAATCTAGTTCAAATACCGTAAGCCGAGCTTACTTTTGGTCTACGCGGCGCATCTTTTTGATTATGATACTCCCAGTCTCCAGGACAGAAGAAGTTCGTACCCAATGCCGGTGTCCTCATGCTTTCTGCTCCTGACACACGGCATAGAATGGTATCTTATCGCGAGTGATAGCTATTGAAGATGTCGGCTTATATAACACAACGTTGGCATCCCGCGTACGAAGGGAGGAGGAAAGATGCGTCATGCGCGTCCGAGGAGGTTTACACTGGCTAGGAAATCCTGATCACAGGGAGCGCGATGGATCTCTGAGTAGCGGTACGTTGCAAAAGCCGCTAATATCCACTTCACGCGGTTGAAAAGCCCTCACGTCTGACGTCAAGGGTACCCCTTTTAATTCGTGTCTCTTGTTGACATATGGCATCCAGTCCTTGCACGGTGGCGTGGTATCTATGTTTCTACAACATGGACCCAAAAGGGAGGTATCCGAGGACCAAAACATCTACAAAACCGGAATGTGGTAATGCGACCCTGTTGGAAGTGCGCTCATTCTGACAGGCTTCGCAATATCGAGCGCTAGAAGCTGATCAGGCGGAGCACCGTTCCTGTCTATCAACATAGGCCGCGTTCATGGCTCACGCTACAGGATCATCCGCCGAGGACGGTTTGCCTGAACTTTGGTCGAGGTTAATGGTATGGAGCCCACCCTCGCGGGTCTTTCATCGAGCGGTTCATTTTCTATGGATGCAGAAGAGGGCATTAAGACATTGGTGACCGCCGCAATGTAAAATCAGCATCGCTGACCGTGCCTTTCTCGCACGCCACGAGCCTACACCAACGGGCGGGTACCGGCCAAGCGATAGAGGTGCGTCGGCCTCGAAAATTAAAGCGATGTTAATGCTCACTACATACGACGATAGGATGCATTTGTTCTCGCACGCGTCTTAGGCCATCGCTCTACCTCCGCGACGGCGCTCCTACAAGTGTTAAAGTTGCACGAACATGTATGGCTGCCCCTAGCAAACCGTGTCCTTTGGGGCTCCTACAACTCCGGTGTTATGCACGAGTTCAACGGTGTCCAGGGGCGATGACTTGCACGCACTGGGACCTATTATATAGGTTCGATGGAGCTGGCTTGCTCAGACTACTGTCATTGGGGAGGCAGAGAGCGATCCAGTTTGATATGTATATATGATGGTGTGTCGTAACACAGTTGGGCCTCACGCGCACGATTGACAGCAATTTTACTATCAAGATTTGTGTGGGGATCCCAAGGACCGATGGGACCCTTGCCGCTACCTCCAGCCATTCACTGACGTAGAAGAGGGCCCCCTGCGTCGGCAGATGACTGTGGCGCTTATGTTCCGTCTCACAAGCCATACAACAACACATATATATGGTACACTCAACCCCACAGATGTGCGCCTTCAGCGCCACCGAAGTAACGATCGCCCTTGATCTCGTGCTTTGCAAGTGCCTCGTTGATCTCTGAGATATCCGCCGCGGACAGCGCGACGTCGCCTCCTGCGAGATTCTCCAAAGTCCGTTCTTTTTTCCTATCAACCGTCATTAGTAGATGCATGTCAAATGCAGCCACTATCAGAGACTCACGAAGAACCGGGAAGCGGTATGACTTTGGCGCCGAGCGACCCGACCCACGCGATGCTCAACTGCCCGGGCGTACAGCCCTTCTCCGCTGCGATGGCCTTGAGTTGGTCCACGATTTTAAGGTTGTGCTTGATGTAGTCCTCGCCGAACCGAGTCAAACGACGACGCTTGTCATTTTCGGGCAAGTCATTGACGCTCTTGATCGTCCCAGTGAGGACACCGCGACCAAGAGGGCTGGAGAATCTTAAATGAGCAAGTACAGCCACTAGGAAGCGAGAGAGACAAACGAGTAAGCGATTACCGCGATGTCGAGCTCTTGCGAGGCAGCGATGACTTTCTTCACCTCTTCTTCGTACGACCAAGGGCTGACTTCAATCTCTACAGCCGCAATCGGGTGCACCTAGAATACCTGTGAGTTTGCCTCTCGCACGGCGCGCACACAAGGCCTACCGCATGTGCCCGCCTTAGCGTGTCCGCCCGACATTCCGACATGCCGATGTGGTCGAATTTCCCTTCTTTGATCAGGCCAGCGAGCGTCTTGATCGCCTCCTCGATGGGGATCTTCTGATCCACACGCGCACATTCAAACAGGTCTAGCTTCTTCGTGCCACGGAGGGCCGCATTGATGTTGTCGACGCTACAGCGGAGGTTCTCTGGCGACGAGTCCGGGGCGAGAGCACGGACTCCACCCTGCCATTTCAATGCCGTCGTTAGAAGCTGTGCGGCATGACTGAACACTGGTCACTACACACCTTCACTGATAGGAAGGTCTTGTCTGCATAGCTAGGGTACTTGTCGAAGAAGCGTGCAAGTAACTCGAGGTTACCCGTCCCCAGGTCATTTGCGTAGAATTCACCGCTGTTGAGGAACATCTTCGCGCCTGTTGGAACCGCATCGATGCCGGCTTTGATGGCCTCAAAGCACTGTTCATCGGGGATTGCACGGGAACCGCTCCATCTACATCGCTGCAACATCGGCAACAATTTACGGTGCGAGTCTAGGGGAAAGCGCACGTCATCATCATCAAACCGTGCTATGGATGAGTGAGATTATGAACCTCGATGTGCAGGACAAATCTGCGCTGAAGACATACCGCGACTTTTGCGACGGTCACGTTGGATGCGGTTCCGCCGAGCTTTGCGGTGTTGACGGTCATGTTCAACTTGAGTAGAGTCGAGTCGAGGTGGTAAAGTCAAGATGGGAAAGTCGAGATTGCTCCAATGTCAACCTACTCTTCGTCTTTATATACCATTGCCCACCGCGCCGGAACTACAACGGACGCCGGGCCGGCCAGGGGCAGCACTAAGCACTGCAAATCAATGTCATGACTTTGTCATGACTCATGGGCATTTAGGGGTGTCTCATCCGTACTTACCTGTATCCGGATACGCCGCTCGAGCGCGCACAAACAGTTCTCAGTGGAAAGCGGACTCCGAGGTGGGTTAAGCCTTGGACTGTAACGGAGATTGTCTGTAAGCCTGCTCATTTGTGCTTGATGTGTACAGACGCACAGAGTATAAATGTTCTGTCTTTGAAGTTGCGATCCGGGCGGGCGCCGTGATCCTAGGCTAAATACTAGTACCTCCTCCATCCCTCCCGTCTACCATCCGCTTCGGGAGGAGGAGACTGCGGCAGTCTGTCACGGAACCCCCTCGCAACATGTTCCTGCGCCGAAAATGTTGTCCCCCGTAGGCAGACCCGAGATACGACCTTTGTGAATGAAGGAGAGGATGGCCGTAATGATCATATCTTATGCCGTGGTTACTAACAATGACCGTGTAGACTATGATCACCACTACCAGAGCTATCTCCATCCCTGGTAGTATATCGGTTAGTACACGCGCCTGTCATCTTGGCTTTGTGCGCGCGAAAGCGGGGTTCGACTCCCCGCCAGGGAGGGTTCTTTTAATCACATTCGCGATCGTCCTTCGCCCTTGTATCTGTTCGCGCTGTGATTTTATTTTATTTCTACAGCGAGCAGTGTATGTCTGAACGTGCCTACCCCATCAGTAGTACCAAGCAATCACGATGGGTGCGTTGTTCATATTTGCTACGCTATAGGAATGAACCCTGTACCACGGCAGGCTATGCTGGGAGTATATTTGATTCCAACTAGATGCTACAGCATTGTCTCACTGTGCTTTGAGCTTCTCCACTAGCTCAGGTACCGCTTCGTACAGGTCTGCCACCAATCCAGCATCAGCAACCTGGAAAATGGGAGCATCGGGATCCTAGGGTGTAGTTGTCATCCACCAGACTGAATATGTATGCACGGGAACACCCACCTTGTTGATGGCGACGATCATCTTGGAGTCTTTCATACCTGCTAGATGCTGAATGGCGCCGGAGATACCGACCGCAATGTACAGCTGGGGAGCGACGACCTTGCCTGTTTGCCCGACTTGCAGCGAGTTGTCTGCGTAGCCCGCGTCGACGGCCGCACGCGACGCACCGATCGCTGCGCCGAGCGCATCTGCAAGCGGCTCCAGTGTCGCCTTGAACGTGTCCGCGTTCTTCAGCGCCCGCCCGCCGGAGACAATGCGACTCGCGACGCCGAGCTCCGGGCGGTCTGACTTGGTCAGATCCGTGCGGACATGCTGCGTCGGCGGATTCGGTACCTCGACCGGGTCGAGCGACTTGTCCTCTGCTTGTGTATCCTGCTCCGCCGCCGCGGCGAACGCTGTCGAGCGCACGGTGAAGAACTTGATGGGCACTGAGGACGGGGCGCGCACGGTGGCGATCGCGTTGCCTGCGTAGATCGGGCGCGTGAAGGTCGTGGCGTTTTCCGCGGTGTCGTGGGCGAGGGAGGTGATGTCCGAGACGGCAGGAAGGTCTAGCCGTGCAGCAACGCGGGGCAGGAGCGACTTCGCGGAAGACGAGTGGGCGGAGACGACGTGTGTGAATGGCGATCCGGACGAGAGCAGCTTCTCAAGGAGCGGGGAGACTACCTCAGGGATGGGGGCGGCGTACTGCGGCGATGCGCTATGAAGAAGGGTGTTCAGACCCTTCAGCCTGGCGTGGGATTAGAGCTGACTTCATAATGGAGCTGGTGACTTACTTCTTCGCCTTTTCTACCACATCCTTAACCTCATCTGGCCCTCCAACAACGAGGCCTGTGACTTGACCACCGAGTTGCTGAGCTGCTGTGAGAGCTGACAGGGAGCCGGAATCAATGACCCCCGCACGGTGCTCGATGAACACTAAGGCATGGGGCCCGGGGACAGTAGCGTAACGTCTGCACAGTGGTCTGCTTGCAGACAAATAGCGGGCTCTCAGCATGGGCATCGGAGTGCTCTGAGTGCGCAGTGAGCGGGGACAACGCTTGGGGCCGAAGAGGGAATCGTCACGCTCACGTGTTTACTCGATCTCGCACGGCACTTACCGCAAGGTCTCGGAGTTCTCCTCGCGCGCTACCCTCCGTGGGAAGAACGAGCAAATATCGCGTATACAACGCGTCGCGCCATTCCCTGCCAGACCACGAGGCTTGCATATGCAATGCATGGCCCAGCTCAGTGTACACGGTCAGTGGGGGCCACCGTGCATGGTATCAACTGAAGGCGAGGAAAACCCAGTGCATGCATGGCAGCTCAGCCTCATACCGCAGCCGTTCTACCGCCCTGTGCTCGCACAGCCTCAGGCTGAACGTGACGGAGGCCTACACTTCTATTACCAACCAAGGTGTCATACAAGACCTCTACGCTATATCTATCATGTTCTATGATGGTCTAGTCCATCCGAAAATCAGCATTGAGGACTCTGAGGTCCTCACCCCTAGGTCCTTCGTGACAGTAAGCGACCTGAGGCATCTCCGTACAAGCAAGCCCTTAGCTAAAGCTACAATGTGTATGCACAACAATAGCAGGGGGGGAAGATGATATGCTGGAACGTTCATTGTAGTTTTCACCATTGTTCGCAGTCTCTAGGACGACTGTACTCTACAACTTTTATGTGTCGCCGAGTCTTGAGCATGCAACCCGAGTGTAGAGAAACTTCCACGGACTTGAAAATCGAAGTTCTATCGTCGTTGGCATGTGTATGCGTAGGAGAACACGTTGGTAGAGTACATGCAGCCGGCCCGGCTTTTTGCGGGTGGCGTTGTTTAGACGCCCGGTCACAAAGGATAAGAACATGCGCGGTCGCCTCGTTCTTTCCCTCTCACCATACGCGACCCTGCGTCCCAAACCCGTTGCTTGCAACCCGCCCCCTCGATATCCATTCACAACCACCTCATCCCACATCCAACAACGACAACGATGTACTACACACCACTCTATACCACCAGCACTTGGCAGACCCTTGTCGCGCACAACGACTCGCAGTCTCGCAGCAATATCCAATTGGGCTACGACGACATGTTCTACGAATATGTCGACGATACCCCCGAACACCATCGCCTCTCTCCGCAACAAGTCGCGACCGCATACCAGCGCGCCACTGAGGCCCCCGCGAGTCTCTCATCCGGGACGTCTGAAACTTGGAGTACAACACATGACACGATCGAAGAGGAGAATGACCTTCCAGTGAGCCACTGCAACATCTTTGACGTGATATATGTTGTACTCACTGGGAATCCGTTATCCAATAGAAGGTCCATCCTATCTTCTTTCAAACAGAGGAGGAGATGCTTGCCCGCGTGGCAGCACTCTGGCCGACTGAGGGCCCAGAGGACTACGAAGACACGGACTGGTCGATCGCCTTGTCGACGTACGACTTCTTGGGCCTTGAAGAAGGCAAGCACGCGACCACTCGGGTCCGCATCCCCTATAAGGTGCTCGATCACCTCCCTGAGGTGCTGGAGGAGATGGAGCAGTTCGCCGTATGGTGGGACACGTCCCGGAAGGGGGACCATGTCGTCGACCCCACAGTCATCGCCATCGGTATCATGGAGATCCACCCGCTCGAGGATCGCCCGCGCAGGTTGTTCGAGGAAGACGATATTGAAGTCGAGTCAGACTTGTTGCTCGATGGAATACTCGGGGATCTACGGGGCTTGAAGGACGTCGTGGTTTAGAGGGGAGGGGGAGAAGGAGCACGACGCGAGAATAGCTCATTTCATAAGGACAATCTGTTTCTTGACTGTTGCATGGCGTTGAAAATGTACCGTGATTGTTGTATCGATCTGCGTGAATGACTCTAGCACAATGCTCGAAAGTCTAACGGGGGGACTGGTGCACAAAACACCCACAAAGGGTTCCTATGCGGCCGTGTATAGCCTTGCCACATACGGTTTGGTGCTTGGTTCTCGAGCAGCCCATGGCACAACTGCACTAGAAGCGCGGGCCGCAAGCAGACGCTCAATCTTGGTCGTCGCACCCCGACTTGTACTTTCTCTAGAGTGTCCTTTTAGAACCCACGGATCAATCAGAGGCAGAACCTCAAGAGAATGGACATAACATACCGCTTCCCGCTTCCCACTTCACATCACGCAGGAAACATACGGTTCCAGCCGAAGCTTACGGCCGTCATACTCCGCAGGCGCACCCGGCGGGTGTAGGTATGGCCAGTCCGCCCTTATTGGCTTTACAACGGCGTTAACCTCGCCCTGCTCTTCGTAACCATCCCTCAACACACCATGACGGCGAGCATGATCGCAGCTCAGGCTCTTCACTACTGTCATCGTTCATTGCTGGGAGCAATCTGTACAACAACATCGAAGCAAACAGGTGAGTCTCACAAGTTGATCACAGACATCGTAGTCGTCACTCACGGCGGTTATGTTTGACTGTTTCCATCTCTTTCAGGCAGCGCATCGCCTCCCTACATGATGTTCGTCGGCGGCCTGCGCTGCGGAACACGCATGTTTGTAAGGCTCAAGTTTGGGCGTTACAGGCAATGCCGATGGTGCCGATGGTGGGGACTCGACTCGAGGTGGGCCAGGATGGCGTACGTGAGTGGCGAGGCTCTAAAGCGATCGACTCGCAGAAAGGTGGAAGAGGAAAGTGCGGGAGAGTGGAGAAGATGGGAGGTTGAAAGGAGGCTTCAGCCTTTGCCTTTTTACCCGGCCTGACACACCAGCTGTGGCCACGATCCACTGATTCAGGTACGATTGTCAAAGTATTGTTCTTGTACTCACATTGTAGATCCATGTATATCCTTTGGTGTGTGTAACAAAGCGCAGTCGTCCAGCCGATGATGCAGGCCGTGAAGACACAGGCATCACTGGCTGCATTGGGCGGTGAACATACGACATGACGCTTAGCCGCCATGTCAAGATACTTTGGGGTCGCGATGGAGAGTAAGGAAATACGACATTGTATCAAGAGGGTTGAAGACAAGATTGAGGCTGATCGCAAATTGATTTCCACGCCCGTGACGCGTCCAGCGTCCAAGGGGGTGCGGTCACCGTTGGAAGCCCGACGACTCCAGCACGTCCCTCACCGCAAAATACTACTGTTCTTTCTCCGCGAAGGCCGCACCATGGAGGCCAATATAAACCTGGCTGAGCGAAGACGCCGTACCACTTCGCTCCTACAGACTATGTCGCACATGCATACGGTATACTTAAGAGTAGGTACGACAGTGATCTAATGTGTCGCATGCTCCAGTTCATAAGTCATTCGACACACTAGGGATTCGGGGAGAATCGCACTGATCCGTTGGACACACAATCATGCGTGTCGTGTGGCCACCGGGCCACAGACAAAAGGATACAAAGCACATACAGATTGCGAGTACAGTACAGCACGGCAGAGCGAATGGATGAGGCAATAAGCAGATAAGCGAGCGGTCACGACATGTCCTCGTCTGAGTCCGATATATATTCCTTACTTTTACTGTGAACCAACGGGTCAGTAACCCTTGTCAAGCAGTGGGTGGTTGGACACTGGATACGCACATCTGTTTCTTCCGCGGTGCGCCCGCAGGCTCGTCATCATCTTCATCGTCGCGCACAACGCGC